TGGCTGGCAAGCACCCGCGCCCTATAGAAAAAACCCCCCCAAAAAAAAAAAAAAAGAGTGACCAGGAACTACAGGCTCAATAATAGCAAAGTGAAAAAAACAAAATAACAAAATAAAAACTGGAACATTTGATAACAAAAAGTTTTGTACATTTTTATTCTTTTCAAACCAATATTCTCACCAAAAATTTAAACATAAATAAATAATTTTTTACTTAAATTGATCTGTTTTGTTACAAGCCTTAATACCTCAAAATACAGTACAGGCATATACTGCAACCTAAGAGACAAAAATGAGATAACAATGACAGTAATTTTCCTTCATAGTTGTACCTCCTAAGAAGCCTTCTAATAGTTTATTTTTTAACCATTTTATTTAACTTTATTTGTTCGTTTTTTAATTTGAACACAGAGGGACAGAGTGAAAGAGAGAGTGAAAGAGAGAGAGAGAGAGAAAGTGAGAAAGCAAGTCGCCAGGTCCAGGACTTGAATCACGGCCAGCCATGTGGGAGTCTAGCACCCTTAACCACCACACCACCTGCTGGACCCACATTCTAATAGTTTTGTTCACTACTAAAACTTAAGGAAGAAAGTTTCAGAAGAGAATGGAATAAGAACAACTTTAAGTTCATTTTAACCTCAAGCTTTTGTGATGTCTAATTACTGTATTTGGGTGTTTCCCTATATGCCTGCACATGAACTGAACCTAAACAAAACACTCTTTTTCTTTCTTTATTACTTTTTCTATTACTGACAGAGTTGTGTGCATTCACCAGAGATACAGAGAGACTTTTAGAGAAACACCCATCAATGGTGCATGGTCAGACTGCAATTCCTTTTCCTCTCTTCACCATCCAATCAAGATCTGGGGCATGCACACTCACCTGGAGAGATTTTCGGGCCCCTGGGGCCAGGACCCAGACCATGATCAACAATATGGGATCTGGCTCCCTATGCACAGCACTTAATTCCGGTGCTATAGGGCCACCCTAATAATCTTCTACTTCAAATGGCATGTTTGTGAAAACACCTTATGAGCAGCAAGAATATTCAAGCTTTTGGAGGGAGCAGACTTCTTGAAAACATTAGATGGTGAAGTAAATGGAAAGCTCCCTGGAATCTTTGGAAATAGATAGATTGGCTTGGCAGTCTAAATTTTGGCTGTTATACCACCAGCCTCCAGTGTTAGTTGAAACACATTTGTAGAAAGAAAATGTTTCTGAGGGTATAGTTGATTTAATTTGAGTGGCCATTGGAGGAAAAAAGCAAAATCACAGGACTACTGTGAAAATAGCAAAATCAATAGACCACTTTACCATGATGGCTAAGAGCAGAAAAATGAGTGGAAGTTTCTTCAGCTCTGCTGATGCTACCATAAATAAATGGAGTGAAAAAAACTGTAATGGCTCCTACTCGTGTGGCTTTATTGCATCTGTCCATCCAAAGGAACTTGTCCTTACCTGCCTGCTTTGGTGATAATCATTTCAGTTCCAATATCATGGAACCTCTTCCAGAGGTCAGCACATTGCAGCTCCACCTGAATCTCCTCCATGGAAGACATGGCTGCAGGCACAGGGCCTGCAGCACCAGCAGCCAGGGCAGCGTGAGTGTCAAAGGAGCAGGAAGTCCGCTCAGTGAGCACCTCTGAGTCTGAACCAGTGCTCTGCTCAGAATCTGCAAAATAAACAATCAAGCCTTAGGCGAGAAACTGCTGAGCTCCTTCTACCCCTTACCCTGAAAGATGGGGGTTGGAGGACACGGAAGAGTAGGGAGAAAGGTGAACAAAAGAAGACCAAACGCTGGGAAGCTCCAGAGCACAGCACTCAGGGCATTTTATTATTGTTTTTATGGTTTGTTTTTGTGATTTATGGCATTCTTTCAGGTTTCGTGTTTCCAACATGACATCTGGCACTTTAGTAAGTTTTAGCAATAGCTGGAGAAAATTGGTCCACAACAGGCAATATAAAGAGTACTAATGTCACCATGTTGAAGAGAATAAGACCAAACTAGGGCAGCAAACTCAGTGCCAAATGAAAGTAAAATATAATTATATACTATGGCACCAAATCTAGATTGTTGGACTATGTAGCTCAATCAAAAAGGAATCAATCCTAACAACATGTTCTTTAATTTTGTACCACTCAGTGTCACTGTTCATCCATTACTTATTTTTAAATATAGCATAATTTTTTCTCCATTTACATATGCCCTGGTCATCAAAAGTAATGAAAAGTTGCTTGGGAGCCTTAGAAGTACACTGTGGTATGTATGAGTAAATGGCTGTTCCTAAGAGCCCAATCAGGCCATTTTGGATGGGAAAAAAATTCTCTGCTGTGAGACAAGGATATAAGCATATGGAAAAAGTTACCCTGGACGGCGGTTGAAACAAAGGGAATGAATGAGTCCAGGAGACACCTTGATTGGTTTCTGAAGTATGGGCAGAGGGGAGGGGTGATCCAAACAGGAAGGTGGGATTGAGAGCAACCAAATAAAGAGCTGGCATGCTGGGCCAGATGGTCCTTTCCTGTGTCTTCAGTACTCATGAAGAGAAGGGGGGTGGGGCCGGTAGGGGAGGTAGACTGATGGGGAAGACTGGAATCAGCTTTACCAGAGAAGGATTTTCTGCAATGCTTAAACTTTACTTTCAGGAGCCTGATGCCAAGAATTCTACACCCTGAGATTTTCCAAATTCACATTAGCTCATACAGTTTCCTTGGGTCACAGGAAATTGCAGGCCAAGCCTAAGAACCTATTCTTGACACACCCTTAACATCTAGACATCAGACTCTCTCTGTAAATACATGAAACAGCAGTGTCTCACTCTGACAAACGATTGCCTAATGCTGTCAAAGGTCAGCGCTTCTTGGACATCCATTTTTGATACCAGTAAGATGGAGTATGAAGGGAACAGAATGTGGAGTCATCTTGTGGCCATTCTCATTTAAGTGTAGCAGGTTTCTAGACCTTTGAACAGCACACCCCATGGTTTCTTTACATTTATTTCCTTTATTTATTTCCTTCTAGCCCCAACTTGTTTCTCTCTCAAGCCTAGGCACATTCCTGGCAAAACTATCCCCACCACTTTGTCAAAGCCTGCAGGAAACAAAGTGCCCGCAGGGAGAAAAGGATCACTTTCCCACTCTCCCTAAATCTTTACCTCTCACTTCTGAAAATGTTAAGTTGCTGCAGAACTGAACAAAACTTGAGGGGTAGTTTCTGACCAAAAACAAGTTATCTACAGTCGCTAGTGAAACCATTATCCCCACACACATACATGCACATATACAAAGAAAAAAATCCCTTAAAATGTTATAATTTGGTTTTACGTGTCTAAACATGTAATTTTATGCCAAAGTCCAAGGCATAAAATTTAAAGCACAGAAAAGCAGAACTACTTATCTAAGATGAGCACAGCTGCTGAGTGTCAAATCCACATCCTAGCCTGACTCCATATGCCTTTCAGTAGCAGAGTCTATATCATTCCACACTCAGCCAAACAATAATGCAGATTCCCTGGGACGTGGATTCCCAAATTCCGTTTTGTTTCTGTGATGGCCCAAGAGCTTCTCACATATCATGAATATTGTGAGTTTTTCAAAAACTTCTCAGAAAAGTTTTTTTTTTTTTTTGAGAAATTTTTGCTATAGGGCGTGTGCACTCGCCAGAAGGAGAGAGACAGAGAGACAGAAAGTGAGAAATCACCCCCCAGGGGAATGGCCACGCTGCAATCCCTTCTCCTTGATTCTCCTCTCGGGATCTTAGGCATGCACACACATGTGCCCGGCGTGAGTTTAAGCCACCGGGTCCAGGACTCGAACCACAGTCTACTGCATGGGAGTTCGGCGACATAGCCATTACAGTAACTGCTGGTCCCCTCCGAAAATTTTTTCTAAAACATACCTTTGTCTTACCTTTGGAAGCAAAGTGTTATAAAATCCAATCACCATAGACTGCCACAATTACAAAAAGAAGTTGGAAACAGACACTTTAAGTAGATCCCAGCAGAAGTGTTAAATGTGTGCTTTCTACAAGTATGCTTAGGAAAGAGGAGAGAAAAGCATAATACTTATCACACTAAGTGATAAATATTTAATGGTAGTGAGGTTGAGGTTGGGATCAGAATAGAAACTATGGCTGGAGAATTAGAAAATAAGAGAGTATATACTCTTAACTCACTGTGTCATCCAGAATAAAATAAGGATACAAAATCTCACATAAAATGGATAAACGAGGGGCCAGCAGGTGGCATGGTGGTTAAGGCGCTGGACACTCCCACATGCCCTACAACAGTTCAAGACCTGGACCTGGTGGCTTGCTTTCTCACTTTCCCTCTCTATCTCTCTCTCTCTCTCTCTCTCTCTCTCTCTCTGTGTGTGTGTGTGTGTGTGTGTGTGTGTGTGTGTGTGTGTGTGTCTGGTCAAATTAAAATAAATGAATGAAAAAATAAATAATTTTTTAAAAAGGATAAACAAACTTAAACAAGACACTTAACTACAGTGAGACTATTTTCTCATTGTGCAATAAGAATCAAACTGAACACTTTCAGAATCTCTTCCATGTAAATGACTTGAAAAAATGTAAGAATTCCCTCCAATGCAAGGGATAACCAGGGCAACCTCAATTAGAATCATCAGATTTAAAATTTTTAGGGCAAGACAAGTTAAATGGAAAAAAAAAAAAAAGAAGACTAGAGGCTCAGCTTCATATTACTATAGGAATTAAAAAACTGAGTAGGCCTTCTCTAAGGGTTTATAGTTTCAATCAAGTCAGTCAACAAGCACCTAACAGCACATGGTCCTAGATGAGGTACCAGGTAGATAATTAGAAACAGAATCCCAGATGCTGAGAAGTTCCCCAGTTAGTGCTGATTAATTACGTGCTCACTGAGTGCTCACTGTGTGCCCAGCACTGTGCTAGTTTCTAAAAAATACTGAAGCACACAAGGGGACCCCTTCTCAAGGTGTTTATGGGTACAGCAGAGTCTGGGAACATTCACGTATAGTCAGAGGCCAACACAAATAGTTACCACACAGTATCACACTATTACATATTGTTTCACAGGAGTCTAGAAAGATGGGAATCAGAGGGCTGGAACAGTCCCAGGAATACTGGAAAGGAAGGAAGCCTGTGGATGCACATTCAGTATCTGCTCATCAAGAGGTTTTTAGAGACTATTACTGGTTTCCCTGGGAATATTTTGAACTCCTAGATTCTTACTCTCTCCTAAAATAGATCCCAGAGACTTTTCCACACAGAATGTAGAAACCACCCTACATTCACAAAAACACAAAAGCATCATGGAATTTTCCATTCTCAATTGTTTCTTAGATGCCATAATTTACAAATAAAATTAATTTTATTTTTATATTGTTTTTGAAAAACTTCTAAAGGAGTTAGGGCCACCTGTGAGGTAAGATACTCTATAATACTCTTAAAATATCAATCTCAGAGTCAAGAGCAACAAAGTTTAATTCTTTGTTAAATACATTTCTAAATCACTGTTATATAAAATATCTATGCTAACCAAATCGATCATTTTAGCTATTAGCTAAATCAAGTTACCTAAATCATAAAATAAGGAACACACAGCTGGTTATTTTAATCAAATGAGATTATACATTCAGAAATACATCATTCCGGGTCTGGCAGGTGGTGTGGTAGTTAAGGTGCTGGACTCCCACATGACTGACCATGGTCAGAAACCCAGACAGACTTGATGCCTTGCTTTCTCACTTTCCCTTTCCCTCTCTATTTCCATCTGGTCAAATTTAAAAAATAACAACAACAAATAAAATTAAATAAATAAATCATTCTTTTATAAAAAAGGAAAGAAAGAAATACACCATTCACTTAAGGATCAAAAAACACCTCTGCTCAGGCCAGCTCAAGGCACAGTGATAACAACACTGCTCAAGCGATGTTAAATCCATATGGAGAATTAGGGGTTCATCTCCCTGGTCAGCCTGGACTCTCCAGGCACATGTGCCCACAGCCTTGGACGAGTGGGAAGGCTGTGGGGAGGGGATCATGGTACAGACCCTGTTGAAGATGTTTCTCTCTCTTTCTATCATGCTCAAGAAAGAAAACAATAAATCTTTAAAAATTTTAACCTGTTTTCAAGTTCTTTCATTCTTAGCAATTTGTGGCTTCCTACCTTCAGAAAATAATTCTATTTAAATGGCTCAGAAAGGCTTCCTGGTTATCAGATGCCTCTTTAGAATAGTATTTCAGGGGCCGGCTGGTGGCATGGTGGTTGGGGGTGCTGGGCCCCCACAAGGCCCTTCTGTGGTTTGAGTTCCAGATCTGGCAGCTTACTTTCTCACTTTCCCGCTCTCTCTTTTGCTCTGTCCCTATCTGGTCAAAATTAAATAAATAAATAAAGCTAAATAAAATAATTATTTAAAGAAATAGTATTTCAGCAAGAGAAATACAGTAAGCCAGGCACAGAAATGATAAGGAGACACATAACCAAGGCAGTTAGGGAGAAAACTTAGGAAACCCACAGAGGGCCAATTACAAGTCAGTGGAGAGCATTGTGTAATTCATAGGACTAAACAGCATAATATTTCCATCCTAAAAAAAATCCTTAAAAGAGGGATTCTGGGAACTGCAAGTGGCATGGTGATTAAAGGCCCAGGATTCCTACGTGACCGACTATGGTTCGAGTTCAGGAC